GAATACATTAGCAAAAGTCTCCAGTGTGCACAGACAAATACAGACATAAAACAACATTAAAAGACAAAAATAAAACGAATAAAACAATAAACAAATGTCACTGTGAAATCGATCGACTAAAACAGTTTCAAAACAACAAAATGTGAAGAAGCTTGCACTTGTATTTTGTACCTTATTAATTCATTGGCTGCCAACCATTTTTTTGATGATTTCACTAACTTTCAAGACCCACAGGATATTTTTTACTATGATTATGTGAAATATAAAACCAGATTCTGAACGACTGGACCGTCTACTTTTATCAGCAAAAACATTTTGGATTCTAGATAGTTTTGTTCATCTGTAATTCCCAGTCGAATAGAGGGAAGTTATACAGAAATCACCAGTCTCAGCCAAATACGTCAATGGCAGTCAATAGGTTTAAAGAACCTCCAAAGCCTTAAATATAAGAAGACAAAATTAACTGTTGACATTTTGGTTCGCTGACCTTTTATGGTCAAGGCCCTTTGTTTTAGAGAAGAAACATTATGCATTATTTTTGGCCATTGCAAAGATAATTTACTTCGTCACTTCATGAAGGTGCAATAATATCATAAGTAGAACATATTTATGGGTGCAAAGGGTAAAACATGCTTCCTTTTGAATAGCAACAGTGCAGAATAATAAACATTTGTGTAAAAGTGCCAGTTTTAAGTACGTTTTCATTTGTAGTCCCGGCACAAGCTCCAGAGGTGCCATTAAAAGACAGAGAAATGGGGAATACACAACACAACTCTATATATTTTTTACTGAACAAAGCAAAACTCATTTGATTATTCTGAATTGTTCAGAGAGCCGCTTCTGGTATGGAGATACTCAACTGATCTGCATTAACAAGAATGTAAGTCACAAATTATACTCAAACGGCATCGGAATAAATTTGTCGGGAGTGACCTTCTCTTGAGATCGATGTGGAATAGATGTGAGCATGGGCCCAGTTTCCCAGGCAGAAATCAAAGTGTTATTCTAATAGTTGGGCCGGATATGAGTTAATTAACTGATAATGCCTTTCTATTCAAGCAGATGAAAGGGGTGCATAGAAATTAAAATGTGTGGCAAAGAGGGCAACATGGACATTGTAGTGAGCTCGCCGTAAAAAGAGGGATTAGTTCATTCATCAAAAATTCATATTGGGGTGAAAGCCGACAAAGCAGAGAGCACGGAAAAAATAATTACGTTTCATTTATTTTGAATTAAAGAACGTTTTCCGATGGGGCGAGCACATTTTTCAGAACTGTTTTTTTAAGAGAAATTCTTAATTGAAAAATAATAATAATAATTGCCGAAATGAGACATGTTTACTTGTTCTATTGGCAGCTGCAAAAACAAGAACCTTAAGAATTCATTTTAGGATAGTTTGAAAATTATACAATGAATGTCAGAGTTGAGTCTTTTGATCTGAGCTGGTTCACCTCTCTAACTTATTCATAAACCGGTATTATTCATATGAGTGCGAAAGAACAGAAAATGGATAAACACCAAGACAAAAGACAAGATTAGCTACTGTGACACATAAATATCATTCTAGAAAATTTGCTATCTCGGGGGAAAAAAAGGCATCACACACCAAATCCAATTTTGGGCTGACACAGGATTATAGCATCGCCATAGCAGTTTGAAAATAAAACAAAAAAACATCCAACACCCAAGGGAAGGCAATAATAAAGATGACTTAAGCCAATGTTTGAACAGAAAACAGAGATTTTTCCTTTTTCACAAAGCCCCCCACAGTCTGGTCTGGCACCCACTCTGAGATCCTTCGACCCAAAAAGTTTCTTGTTGTTCCACGAATAAAACTTTATGATCCTTGTAAATGGACTGCTCTGCCTAAAATGACACCAAATGGGCTCCGGCTCTGCTTCAACATTGAACCAAAGACGCATTTATACAGACTTTCTTTTTCCTTAGATCTTCAGATTCACCTATGTCTGTAAAAAGACCCTGTTTGGACGCTCAGAGTGAGATCCATGTTGTCACGACTTGTCCACTGACCCGACACTTGTGTGCACAGATAAATATCCAGTTCAAATCCAAACTTTTTTTCAGCCCCAAAGATGGCCTCCACAAAATGCGACTGTTTTGTTAACACATTTTAAAAACTCCATGATGACAGAATGCTCAAACCCATGCTAATTTTGTATTTGTACCTTTCGCACGTTTTATTTATATTTTAAAGAACTTTGCTTTTTAAACTACATCATTTCAATGCATTAACTATCTATTTGTCTAATGAACTGTGCTATATAAATAAATACCCTTCTGTCCTAAAATGAGCTCACATTTATATCCTAGATGATATTAGGAGTGGACTGACAGTGCGCTAACCCATAGTGTTTCCTGAGTGTGGAAGAAGCCGTTCTGAACATAAGCAAGCTAGAGCCGGTTTCCATATATGGGCATTTGTTCGGATGGCAGGAGCTTCGCGCTGTAACACGGGCAGACGTGTTGCAAAGACGGTTGCTAAGGCAAGTTGGAGTATTCTCTGCGAATGAAGGCATCTGACTGGTCAACCCTTATATGACTCTTATCTGGATTTACAAAGACAGTATCAAAATATAAACACCAGGATCTTAACACCCCCCGCAACCCGGCAATGGATGAAGTGGAAGAAAATCATTGGATGGATGGATCTTAACGACACAACGCTGATTTTTAAGTCCATAATGTGAGTGTGACAAAAAGGATTACTGGGGGATTGGAGTTTACTTTTCAGTCTGGAGTTTTGCCAAAATGAGTTGGAGCAAAACTTTGTCCATGAGCACTTCCCTTTTAGGCTTCATTGAGCTAAGGAGTTAGCATACATATACAGTCTATGCTCACATCACAGTATACCACAAGCCCAGTATGAGAACTATGATCATGAATGCAGAATGGCATTTTCATAATTCAACATTTTTACAATTATTGTGTAGGATATTAAAAAACACATTTCTCATAAAGCAGTCGCAGACCCAGATGCTTCTAACCTGAATGTTCTGATCCAAATCTACCAATAGTTTCTGCAATCTGTCCCTCTTTGAAGCTTCAAACACGGGGACATCAGAAACTGCCCATTTCATTGCGACAAGGGATTCTTCTGACGATGCTGAGTCGGGACATCGGAGTTCAAAGATGGAGGATAAGTTTGTTGTGTGAGTTTAGCTGGAGCGAAAAGAGAACGGATTTGGAGGAGAACCAAGCAGACATGGGGAGATTATGCAAACACAGAGACGCCAAAGACAGAAACATAATTGATATCATTATGGAAGAACGGTCACAAATCATCATTTCCATAAATAGCCTTATATCAGGTGTTTATTATAGATATTCTTGGCTTGCTGAAAACATAACACACGTTGTCGGTTCGCCTGAATGCATGGCTTCTGATCAACTTTCCATCCGTGCAAGACAAGACGGTTTTATCTCCTCTCCTGGCAGTCGGGGAACAATGCGCTTTATTCTATTACAGTGTAAATCCAATCTCATGCTTCACAGTGTGAGCAGAAGAGGCGTGCGGACAGATGAAGGAGCGAACGAGATGGTGCCTGGAAATGTTTGACACAAGTCCCAGATTCCCATGAAGTGGCAGGTCAGCAGTGAGGATTTGATTCAATTAGCAAATCAATTAAGAGCTTTATGGGCCCTGAGCTGCCGTTATGGTTTTACAAGACATGTGTCACGGTGTTAAAAGTGTGCTGTTGGAAGGATGAAGCTATTGCTAATGATGGCGGTGAGGTCAAGCCGGATAAAAGGGATTAAATACTTTTTCCATTTACAGATAGAGGTAATGGGCGATGCGTGCACCTGCCATGACATTTATGGAGATTCAGGAAAAAAAAAACATTTCTCTCATCAAAAACCTGGAGTTGTTTTTAGATCCATTCACTCTGAGGAACTTATGGTGTGAAGATGTATTGCCCTTGTTTCAGTCCTGTAGTTGTATGACTTATGATATTAATGCATTTATTGAGTGGCTGCATAGACTATGCAGCCACTATATGCTCTCCTACTGTTTATTCTTCTTCTTCTTCTTCTTCTTCTTCTTCTTCTTCTTCTTCTTCTTCTTCCACTTCCGCCAGATTTTGGCACTTTTCAGCTCTTCAACGCTTTCACCAAATTCAACAAATTATACATCGTTACGACCGGCTTCACCGTCTCATTATTGCTATTACTTTTCACACTTCCACCTTTAGCACTTTTTCAGATATTAACAAAAGTTCAAGCACTTTTTCCCATAGACTTACATTGGACCAGTACAACAGATTACTCCCCATACAACACATTACCACACTAACAATTCATTACCACAGATACAATACATTACAACATCTTACAACACTTATGGCACCTTACAACACATTTAGCACTTTAAAACTAATTCAACACCTTACAACACATTTATCACTTTACAACAAATTCAACACCTTAGAACACATTTAGCACTTTACAACAAATTCAACACCTTACAACACATTCAGCACCTTACAACACATTCAACACCTTACAACAAATTTAGCACTTTACAACACATTCAACACCTTACAACACATTTAGCACTTTACAACAAATTCAATACCTTAGAACACATTTAGCACTTTACAACAAATTCAACACCTTACAACACATTTAGCACTTTACAACAAATTCAACACCTTACAACACATTCAGCACCTTACAACAAATTCAACACTGTACAACACATTTAGCACTTTACAACACATTCAACACCTTACAACACATTTAGCACTTTACAACAAATTCAACACATTTAGCATTTTACAACACATTCAACACCTTAAAACAAATTCAATACCTTACAACACATTTAGCACTTTACAACACATTTAGCACTTTACAACAAATTCAACACCTTACAACACATTTAGCACTTTACAACAAATTCAACACCTTACAACACATTTAGCACTTTACAACGTATTTAGCACTTTACAACACTTTCAGTCCCTTACAACACATTCTTCTTACTTCTTCCTCTTCTTCCCCTTCTTCCTCTTCTTTCCCTTCTTCCCCTTCTTCCTCTTCTTCCTCATCTTCCTGTTCTTCCCCTTCTTCCTCTTCTTCCCCTTCTTCCTCTTCTTCCTGTTCTTCCTCTTCTTTCCCTTTTTCCTCTTCTTCCCCTTCTTCCTCTTCTTCCCCTTCTTCCTCTTCTTCCTCTTCTTCCCCTTTTTCCTCTTCTTGCTCTTCTTCCTCTTCTTCCCCTTTTTCCTCTTCTTCCCCTTCTTGCTCTTCTTCCTCTTCTTCCTCTTCTTCCCCTTTTCCTCTTCTTCCCCTTCTTCCTCTTCTTCTCCTTCTTCCCCTTCTTCTTCTTCCTCCTCCTCTTCCTTCTTCGTCTTTCCTCTTCTTCCCTTTTCTTTCTTCTTCCTTCTTCTTCCTTCTTCATCCCTAACCCTTCCAACATCTATGCAGCCACTCACAATGGCTTCAGCCATTGTACCATTTCTAGTATTTTATTCTTCCCCTCCCTCTAGTGGTAGCTTTTGGAGTTACGGACAGAAAGTGTTTTTGAGATGTCATACTTCAGTCACTTCATTCCACATTCTATATAATGAAATGGAAAAGTAAAGTGTCTCATTACAATGTCTAATGCCCAATATTTTTCTTCTTTAAGCGTGCCTTTTCCCTTGTTGGTTCACTTTAAGGACTGTGAATCATTTCATTGTGAAATAACAGCAACCTGCAGATCAATCTGTTTGAGTTATAGCCTAAGTTCACAATTTACCACTTCAGTGCAGCCATCTTTTACAATCAATCCCAACTTCTACCATTTCATTTTCCTGAAGACCAAAGAAAAATAGTTTGAAAAGGCAGTTCGCCCGGACCACGGCTTTTCATCACTAAAGATAGTGTCGGTAACATAGAGCTTGCAAACAGCATGGGGCCAACTACTCACGCCCTCATTTTGTCTGATGGGATTTCCTAAACAAGCAGTAGAGGTGGACCAGACGCCGACAGGTGCTGAGTCCACATATTGTTTTATCTCTCATCTCTGAAGAGACAGAACGCCTCTCTTCTGCCGAGCGGGCCAATGCACGACATCAAAGACAATGTAGGCGAAACACATCCATTTTAATTATAGTGAGAACAAACACCACACCTGGAGCCAAATACTCTGCTACTGCTGTGGGCGAAGTGAATGTGAGGCTTTGGCAACACAGACGCTGGCGTGTTTCAGGTCATTACAATGAAGGAGTTTCTGAGTACACATGAGGTCAAGCAGTTGGCTTATTGTGCTCTTAATGACCAGTTTGGCCCTCGATTTATTCCAGAGGTTCAATTTGGTTGTTTGTTTTTCGAGGTGTGATAAAAGATCTATCTCAGACTGAATACAAACCAGTTTTAGTCTCGCTGATGATATAATCCCACTGGGGTTTGGAGTTGTTCCTTGTCTGGGTAAAACTAAGAGATGATGGTGATGATCCAGGACACTCAACATTCAACAACATTTATGGACATTTACCTTGAACATTTATCAACATTTATGGACATTGTTCATCTGCCCAATGGATCTATGTGTTTTTATCATTGCATTTCTTGTGTTTCAACTGTGTGATTCTCTGATCTGTGTTGACCAACTCAGAGATTTTGTAAAGTCCTCTACAGTCCTCTGCATAAATACAGTTACAATCAATTGGATATTATATTATATGCAGTACATGTTCAGGATGAGGGAACCTGCTGTTCTCTGGGAAGATCATTAGTATGAGATTGTTGCAAATATGCAGCTTGCAAATATGTGCATTCTTTGCAAGCAGGCATAGACCGTGCCACTGGTTAGATGTCTGGAGAGGTGAATCCTAAGATAGATAGATAGATACGTTTTGATCCCCGGTAGGAGAAATTCAGGTTCCAGTAGCAGCAGAAACACATCCATCCATACAAACAAAACAAACAAAATAAATATAAGATCTATACATATATATTATAAGGTATAGGTTTAATAACAAATGCCACATGATTGTAATAATAATAATAATAATAATAATACATCAGTTTTATATAGCGCTTTTCAAGAACTCAAAGACGCTTCACAAATTCATGACACAAACACACACGTTTAGACAGACACACAAACTAAAAATCTAAGAGTGAGGAAGAAGGGTAGAAAGTTTAAACTAAGCGTCAAATGCTCGGAGGAAAAGGTGAGTTTTGAGCTGTTTTTTGAAGGAGTTTAGAGAGTCCGAGTTTCTGAGATGGAGGGGGAGGGAGTTCCCGAGAGTGGGAGCAGAGATGGCGAAAGCTCGGTCCCCCAAGGTTCGGTGCTTGGATTTGACAGTGGGAGTGAGGAGATGTGAGTTTTAAAGAATCCTAAAAAGCACTGAGGCCACGAGAATATTAGATTAAAATGAACTGTCAGCCAAAATCATCAACATTATAATAAAAAAGGCCATAGAGGTACAAAACTAGAATATTGTTCAAAAGTTCATCTATTCCTGTAATTCAATTTACAATGTGAAACCAGCATATGATATATTCAGTACATGCAACAAAACATTTGCCAAGCCTTTTTTATTATAATGTTGATGATATTGGCTGACAGTTCATTTTAATCTAATATTCTAATGGCCTCAATCCTTTTTGGGGTTCTTTAAAAGGTGTGAGCCAATTACCAACATTTATTACAAACAATAGCTACATCTCACTTTGTATTTTGGGATTTAACCGTCGGCATCTCAACAGTATCAGACTTGAATTTCAAAGTGTTGCATGCTTTGACCCTGGACTGATAAGCTTAAGTTTTATCAGAAAAAGAAGCAATTTTTTAGCCACAATCAGCTTTTCTCATATCAACAACATACTGTATCTATGCTTTATTGTACCATCAAACCCAGCCCAGACGTAGCCCACTGTTACCAGCCCATCCTACTAATACTTAATCATCATGTTGAAACAGTGTGTCCTGGCTTACACCTGGTTTGACCCTGGGTATTTGTTCTTCTCCCTCACAAACCGTGTCCCTCTCCTCTCGGTGGCAGCGTGAGCAGCCTTGGCACATGAATCCTGATTCTGCATAGTGGATGTGAACGGCCCTGACTGCCTGTCATCTTCAGTGGACTCACACTTCAACTTTTTCCTGTGAACCACCTCCAGTTACTCAGCAAGCGCGCTTTGGCTCCAGCGCCGAGATTCAATTAAAATGTAAATTCGGACTAAGCTGATAAACAAGAACAAGTTATGGTGCGAGTTCCATAGTGCAGTCGACAGGAGGTGATGAAGAGACGGACTTGGGGAGGGTTCCTCGGAATGGATTTGTCATTTAAAGGCCACTGTATTTAGTACATTCGTTTACATGATTCTGATCACTCAACAACATGGCAACAACCGAGGCATTGAATTAGAGAAAGAGAGGGCAGACGTTTTGGTGTTTTTCAGAAATGAGTAAATAGAAGTGAACAGTGAGGGTGAAGAAGATAGATGGTTTGTTCACATCTATGGAGTTTGCATGTTCTCCCTATGTCTGCGTAGATTTCCTCCGGGTGCTCCGGTTTCCCCTACCGCTAAAAATATGTACAACAGGTCTGGCATGTGCCTCCTGTACTCACCAGCGCCCCCTGTCAGGAGTACTGGTGGCTACAGTACAGGCCCAGGGACCCATCTCTCGTTGTTGATGCTCGGCTTGGTCAGGTCTAATGAACAGTATAATTTTACATGGTGTTTACTTTTGAATGGTGGAAGAATCCGGAGCGTCCTGAGGATACCCACCCAGAAACCACGACCTCCTTGCTGTACAGGGAGGAAGACATATAAGGATTTTTACACATAAAACAGTTCAGAATCACAGCTACAAGTTGATCGTAGAGATACAACCCTGACTTTTACCCTATTCTTAACCCCTTACCCAACCATAGTCCTAATACTTACCACTTTGAACCCAAGCCCTGACCTTAACCCCAACCCTACTATAGCCCTAACCCAATAAAATGTTATATTTACCCAATATAATTTTATAAACAATCTCCAAAGTGGTGCACAGATAATCAGAGAGTTGACTCGCTCATAAAACAAGTGAATTAATTTGTATTTAATCATTTCTGTCTTTTGTATATAGATTGTAAGAGAAACTTTACAGCAGAACTAAAAGAACTAGACGTAAAATCAAACAAGAGATAGACAGATAGATAGATATTTTATTGATCCCCAAAGGAGTAATTCAGGTGTCAAGAGCGGAGTCATCTCAAAACATACTGAAACAATAACATTAGTGCAAATAGATAAAAACACATTGGCATTGATTCTGGAATGTTGATTACTTGTTGATATCAGATCAAGCATCAAAATATATAGTATGTGCGTTTTACTTATTCAGTGCAAATTGGTATTATCAGAAATCACAATACGAAGAATGTAGAGTTTGGAAATATGGTGAAAAGTACAACTTTTGTCAAACGCAATCCTCAGAGCGCCTCAAATCTGATCTACAATATTGACAGCTTCCAGACTATCTCTATCTTCCTGGCGCCTAAACTTTTGAAGCTCGTCTTTTACAACGTCAAACAGGGGAGACAAAGTTGTATTGACTCGACAGACTTCTCCGCGGCTGACGGCTCTTTCACGCTGAAGGGCAAAGAACTCTTCACTGATTTTTTGCGACAGGAGCAGGATAGTCACTTGCATCATATAGTTGCACATTGTTCAATAGTTTTATTCATTTACAGCAAAAGTTAAAGTCTATAAAATGTTTAAAAGGATTTCACATTAAGTACATTAATCTGGAACAGTCTTTCTGAAAATGTGAGACAGGATTCTACTCTGACAATGTTCAAATCCAGGTAAAAAACAGTAGAGATGTATGTACTCTTTTAAATGTACTCTGCACTTTGAGTTGCCTTGTGTATGAATTCTGCTATACAAATAATACATATCCCGTAGGGCAATTCCTCGTCTGCATTTGACCCATCCTCATGGCACTTGGACCTGTCAGGAGCAGTGGTCGCCGTAGTAACAGTGCCCGGGGAACCCATTTCTGTAGATGTTGATGCTCGGCTTGGTCAGGACTACTGGAGGTTGAGGATTTTAGTGATGCAGGAATCCGGAGCAGTGGCTCAGTTGCTAGAGCATTGGCCTTTGAGCCTGAAGGTTGTGGGTTTGAGCCCATCACAAGACCTACTTCACGACTCCCACGATGTCTGCTGTTGTTGTGTCCTTGGGCAAGACACTTAACCCCACATTGCCTGAAGCCCCCGCTGAAAGATCAAGGCTCCTGTGAACTCACCACCTGCAGGGGAAGCAGCGAGGGGCTGGTGCTCTACTGGGTGCAGCTCTGACTGCCACCCCCCGACCCAGAAATGGATTAAGAGGAAGAAAATAGATGGATGGAAGGAAGCCGGAGCACCCGGAGGAAAACCTACGCAGGCACATGGAGACCCTGTTCCGACCGATATTCAAACCCAGGATCACAATAACCTCCTACAGAAATCCACAGCAGTGTCTATGGTAAAAATAATAATAATAATAACAAAATGATTAATAAAATGTACCAATTGGAAAGTTATAAGGATGAGTTATAATAGATGAAAAGCTCACTTGGAGACCCCACGTAAGTTACTTGAGGACAGTTGCTAAATGTGACGGCATGATGTAGAGAGCCAATCATTTACCTGTTATTTTATCATTCTTTCATAATGTCAGAATCTCAACATATGTGTTGAAGTGTGGGGAAAGTGTTATCATTTCTAATCTAATTTCCTACCTTTAATTACATTGCAAAAAAAGCCATACACGTTGTATATTATTAAGTATTGTGTTGAGAAGGGGGTCTGCTTCATCCAACACCTTTTACAAAACCTGTGAAAGTGTTGCAGACATGGGAAAATGTGTTCTGCAGGTTTGACATAAAATCTAACTTATAAATCTATAAAAAACGGACCTGATGGTGATTTTGAACAAATAATAATTGTATAGCTCAATAACATTCTCCTAATAAATGTGGACGATTGAAAAAAGGTACACAAAAATTGAAAAACCACCAAACAGTGGTGAAAGGTGAAGTCCAAACAAGTTACCTTGTGAAATAAAAGCCCGTTATGGAAACATAAAAGGTCTTCTTCAAGGATTAATATCAATGTTGTCCTGGCCTTGTCCTTGAAGAGCACTGTCCATTCGTTGGACATTTAGAACATTTTTTAATCCTATGATGCACTCTCTCAATGGTTGCCACACAGCAGATCATTGTGTACAATTTTACCGCGTTATGCTAGGATACACATTTAATAACATTTATGGTCATCCCACTTTCTATGGACCAACGACTCTTATCTTCAGTATTTGTTATTATGGCATTTCATGTATTCGAACGGTTTTATTCTCTGATCTGTTGCTGAATTGAAAAAATGGGTTCAGCAAAATTTGTTTACTTGTTATTTGGATGAAAGAGGATATAGACAAGATTTTCAGGAAACTTCCCGGATGATAATACCATTTTCTGGACTTTCTTCAGAAAAGTGTTGTTGCTTTCTTCCCTCTTCCTCGCTCTGACTGACCTGAGAACTGTCTCCATACAGTCGCAGAAATGTAGCTACCTGAAAGGGGCTGGCGAGATAATGGTAGCTCCAAAGTTACAGGTCGGAGACCCCTGGTTTAGGTAATTTCTCAATTTAATTTAGGAAAAAGACATAAACACAAATTTAACGTCTCCATCTGGTGGTAGTACAGGGGGTTGCAGGCAGAAATAGTTGATTACAATTCGTACTTGTTTTTTTCATTATAATTTCTATATCAGCTCTTATTTCACACTCTAAAGCATGACATAACAAAGAAAATGGTTTCATTATCATAAAAAAAAACTATAATGCACAATCTTTCTATAGAATTTGAATAGAAAAATGACTCTTGGTGAAGGGTCTGTGCTCTCCCAGTACTTTTCTAATCATTTATATATTTATTCAACTCTATATGTATTATATCCAAATACGTCTGAGCTTAATCATAACTAAAACATTGTGATAAAGCGAATTATAAAAGCTGTGTATAGAAGCGCCGCAGCCTAACACCCTCTCACCTTCTCACCCCGTTCACCCGTCTGCACCCTGTCAGCACAGAGGAGCATCCATCCAATTGGGCTTTGGCACTTTTCTCTTCTTTCCTGTCAACAACATTCACACCGTCTCCGCCAAAATGAGTTTGGGGCCACGGAGAAAGGATCCACCTGCTTATCAGACCTTCAACATGTGCCAGAGCAAACGCAATCTATTGTCGTGAGCTACACTTAGGAATAAAAACATACTCTCTGGCAGAATGTCATCACCACATCATATATTAAAGGTTTATACAAGAACAGAATAACCTCGAGGATATATGGAACTTGTGTTTCTCCGTGCATTCACTCATAGTGCAGCTACTTCATTCATCACTAAATCCTGCCATCGAAATATGTAAAGAGCAGGTTTCTTATATGATGAGGTCGAGTTCAAAATCCCCTGGCTTTTTCCTCTCCTAAAACATTCAGACGCATTGGAATTCCATAGATAAATAATGTAAATGCATATGTTATTCATATGTTTTGTGTCTCCTAGCTTGAGATCCACTGATTCTGGGTTAGGGTTAGTCTCACAGAATATGAGATGTGTGTATATATGTATTATATTGTTTCAAGTTTATGTCTATACAAGGCGCAAATACAGTGAGAAGTCTGTGCGGACCTGCTCTTGTTAGAACTTATAAAACAGCTATTTGAATAATACAAAACCTTTTTCCTTTTGATTCTAGGTCTGTTGTTTTGCAAGGCCGTCGTCAAGGTCTAATCTGGGCATTGCATATTCTTGTGCCTATATGTAATTTCAAACTGGTGACTTTCAAACCACCAAATAAGAACCGTGAAATCATATCCATGTAACTATTTCCTCTTTCTCAAAACAGTTTAATCACTGGTTTTAACATGCATGTATTTTTGCACGCTCAATTTTCAGCGTTTTCAGACATTTAAGTGAAAAATGAAAGGACCCACTTTTGTTCAGAAATATCAGCTCTCAGCCTGTTGAGTCAAACAGTAACTTTCATACAAGAACCCCAGCTGTGTACATATGCGTGTTGATTAGACAACTGTACAACACAAGCTCTTTCCTTATTTGTCATAAGGGTCTCTGCGTATATCCCGCAATATGAAATGCTCTGAGGTGGGAGAAAATCAATCTCAGACCTTCAGTGACATCTTATCCATCCTCACCCATGACAGGAATGTGCTTTCTGGCTGGATTTTAAAAAAGGTGTGGCGTTTTCCTCGGCATACATACCTCCCCTTTAAAATACATGGAACTTGATACCCAAGCACACCTACATATTACACAGCGTACATAAGCATTGTGGATGGCTTTGTGGGAGCAGTGTGTCTTACAGCCAGACACTGTTAATTTAGTTTTGTATATCGCATTTCCCCACGGCCTTGAGGTCCTCGGTAATAGGGGGCTAGCTTGTACATCCTTGAAGGCAGCTCTGTATCCATTATACAGCTGTTTATGCCGAGATGTAATGATTAAAACGCTTTACAAGATGGATCACTGGCGGTTTTCTAAAATGCAAATATTCACCTCCAAAATATCAATTACTCAAGGCTGTGCACTGGAATAGGGTGACAAACACTGAGCTTTAGTGACTGTGGTGGATCGGACTGGCATCTGTGCGTCAGTCGATGAGCGTTACCTTTGGCATGATGCGAATCGATTTATTTGACATGTTTTTTCATTGAGGAAAGCACATTTCACTGCTGCAGAGGCCGAGTAAGACCACGGTGCATCATTAAATCAGTGTTTAATTGAATCCCCTATTTCTAAGGCTGTCAAATGAATTGTGTGAAGGTCTAATTCAAAACCTCATCTGCATTTGTATATATTTTTTTCAGTGAGAGGGCTCGGTCTGAAAGTGCTGTGAAGCTGCATTTAAAGTATTAGTTAAAGGTGCAGTATACCACTTCTGGCTATACAGTATATGGCCTTATTTGGAACTGACTCATGTGCCTTATTCATCACCACGGTACAACATTTTATTATTGGGTATTTCTGGCAAAAAATCATGTTATTGAGATTAACACAACCAAATGGCAGACTGGGAACCTTTTGCATGATGCCATATCATAATCAAGAATAACATTATATTAAATGGAAATCTATCAAAACTAAATTCAAGCTAGAAAGAATTGTTTCCCTCAATTCCAAAACAGTGGAACATATATTTTAACTGAACAATATATAACATAATTATAGGGACCTAAAGATATTTGAAAAGACAAATTGTCACATAAAACTCAATTTGCATCATGTTTGACTTTTAACAGTTTCAAAACATGGTGTTGGAGCAGTATATTTCGCCTTCTCAAAGTATCACTGAGATTATATTCTCAAAATGGAATGAATTAGTAGAAATAAGTCTGTATTCAAATCAGACAGATTTGCACAATGTTATCAGACTTGTTTTTGATTCCTGCAGATGTTAAGCTTGCTTGAAAATATCTTATTCCAAGGCGTAAATTGATGTGGAGGAATTTGTACGCACCAGTAGATCAGATGAAAGATGAAACACATTTTCTAACACTCCTCATTTCTGTATATTACACAAGAGGCCTGTCAAATTGATCTTGATCAGAGCCAATCACTGTTCTCATCTTAAAAAAGGCCTCCATCTGTATATAAAGCAAGCTGCATCAATCTTACTTGACAGTGCACCTGAGAACGTTCCTTGAAAACAAGTGAAATTGTTGCAATATTAAAGTTTTTGCTTATACAACACCTCCCTCTGGTGGAGAATAAAGTCATGACAGCTCAATCGTTTAGAAAAGTATATTTGACTTGTATTACAATATAAAGATATACAAGCAAAACAGGAAATAAACGTATATACAATTATTTCCATACAAAAAAAAGTCAGGAATGTCAATCAAACCAAGACAGGAAGTAGGAAAGAGCACATGAAATCAAATGAATGTCGAGGCCTCAGTTTGGTGAAAGATAAAAATTGCATCATTTTAAATAGGGAAATATGGTTTTGAAATATGTTTGAGATGTGAAATTGTGATATGCCATGACCTCTGTCGTGGGGTATATTTTAACATCGTCATTCAGTCCATTTAAAGATAGTCATATGTAAAACACACAAGTTAAAGAAAAACTAGAACTACTACACCAAACATGAAAAAGCACTATGTATCTACGGTGAAGCTGATAGAAGATTCCCTTTATCATCAGTGTCATTTTGACCCACTTTTAAATCAGTGACAAAGGCACTTTAATCTCTTAAAGAAAGCTACCCCATTTGGTTTAAATATGTTATCATAAAACACAAAACGATAAAATAAATATTCTGTGTGCAAGCGTCACTCGGTGTCATGTACTGCATATGCACTGATTGGATTGTAACAAACGCTAATGCTTCGGGAGTTTTAAAGTTTTATGATCGTGAATGGTTATAGATAGAGTTTTACAGCCAGGGCAGATTCGGAGAAGGGTGAAAAGATGATGTCACATAGATCTGTCTACCAGATGAAATGAAAAACTGTAACAATACCCCAAAGATAGAGGGTGGAAATGCAAATGGGAATGGGACGTGTCAGAGAAGTCTAGCCCTGGCTGGCAGACTCTGCGGGGGCCGGGGGGACGTGCCTCGGAGGAGACGGGGTATAAGGCGGAGGTGCTTCAGTGATACTTGAACAATCAGCTGCTTCTCTGTTTACTGCTGCACTGCTGCTGCTGCTGCTGCTGCTGCTGCTGCTGCTGCTGCTGCTGGTGTTGTTGTTGCTGGTGCACTCACTATACGGGGGCGGCTTCAGCTCGTCCTCTGAAAGTAGAACAAATACAATATTATTGCCTCGCACAAAGAATTGTTAATGCAATGTTTTGTTCCAATGCAAGCTTACAATTCCTCCTCTAGCTTTAAGGTCAGATAACACAGAAAAACACACTTCCAAGTTTTGGCTGTAAGCGGCAGTTATCTTGCTAATCATTTGAAACTTTTAAGTTGTCTCCTTGACATTCAAACAAAAGTGTTCTGTGTGCAGCCGGGAGTGCTGTGCAGCGATAAGCAAAGAGGCCAAAAAGCTTGATTTCATAAATACTGTAGTCTACAATTGAAGAATGTATTATTTAAACAGTCTCTGGAGGATTTTTACCTCGAGAAACGGAATCATATGGTGGTGGCATGTCCAGGTGGGAAAAGGAGGGAGCAGCAGGCAGAGTTGAAGAGGCCTCTTCCACTGACAAATCCTCCTGAAATAGAAGTGCAAAGCAACAGGCATTTACTTGACGGTGAACACATGTGTTTTAGGCAACTTCAGTTAAGTGCAAGACTAACAAGTGATTTTTTTAATAAATTCCAAAATGTACTAATGTTTTATTCCATGACATGGCACATTTCAGAAAAGGACATTTTTGCTTCTAAACTAACAAAACAAAAAAGGTTAGAAGAAGTCTCATCTGCAGAAGCAGAAAATACTCTGCAATCCAATAGCAAAACAGTGAAGTTATTTCAGAAAGACAACGGAGCTCCCAATATACACATTATTAAAGATAAGTCTTTAAAGTTTGTTTGATTTGTGGCATTTCTCCAAAGAGCTTTCAAAAGTTATGGATGAGCTCTGGGCTGTAGCACCATTCATGAACACCTGAACTGAGAAAAAAATACACCAGACACTGCAGTTCTACACAAGAAACACAAGGAAACTAAACACTTTTACACTGAAATAATACAAGTAAGGATAGTAAATGTGAAATCTCATACTAGCGCTGATAGAAGCTAGACAGACCCTTCTGAAAGACTTTCAGGTATTCACCTCAGCACTGGACTCTGTTGGTATAAAGTTCTGAAAATCATGTTTTGTCTATTTAGTCTTTTTAAAAATAAATAGTCTCCTGTTATTCCTGCTAACAAGGGAAAGTTCTTTAAAGTTGCTCTTTTTCCAGACTTGTCAAAGCAGGGTAACACTAACATGACTAATGCACTGCGAGGATAGACTCCACCCTGACACACAACACTAAGTGACTCTTAACATGACCTTTTGAGTCCACAAATAACATCTCAGTTTGCTCGGTTCAATTTATTCAACAAACATGTGCTCTAAAAGGAAGAATAGTCTTCTAAAGCCAATATTATTGAACATTGAACAGTGGTGCAGTTTTAAAATATGTTAGAACTGATTTTTGAATATTGAATAGTGCCATGGGGAAAATGCTAAAAATAAAAATCATTATTTTACGACATAATTGGCCAACTGAAGCATGTGGGTTGATACTTACGGTCTGTCTTTCACACATCTGATGGAGATATGCTCTTCCTCCCACAATGACTATCTGAGCATTGCGTGGAGTTCTCAAGTAGGCTGCCAGCTGCCTCTGCGTGGAGCGGTACCAGCAAACATAGAAAAAGATCTTGATAATTATGAACACGACCACAACTCTGAAGAGAAGACAGAAGAACATAACAATGTCAGTCTTGTTGGTTTATCATTACATTATATCAATATTTGTACGCGAACACCCACTTACATGTACCAGTACAACTCCATGGCGAGTTCAGTGACCTCTCATTTCAGTTGGTTCTGATTTCTCTGGTTCTCAATAAATCATCTGTTACAAAAAAGATTTTATAAGTACACATTTATATTCGCAACAGGATTGTTTCAGATTGTGAAAGTCCACTTTGCAAATGACTAAACTCATATGAGTATCCAACATCAAATATATATATTTTTACTGGAGTTAGGGGTTTTATTTCAGTATTGTTATTATTCATTAATTTTGAGCTGTGTACTCCTCATTCCTACTGCTATGTAACTTGTGATGCAACACTGAAATTTCCCCACTGTGAAACGATTAAAGGATCGGAATCATTGCTCCATTATAACATGATAATGCTATCTTATGTCTATGGTCGTTAGTTATTGCAATCAAACTATGGATAGAGAAGATTAATTAGTTCTCCGACGCACACAACCCCGTGAGCTACTTACGCTTTGGTGAAATGTTGAGTTTAGCTTGTACCGTGTGACATCTCCTTGTGTTGGGAGTAAAGCTGGATCTTTAGCTTTAGCTCACACGCTCACATACACAGGCCACAACAAAACAGATGCTACTCTAGCTAGTTAGCGTTAGCTCTGTGCACACAGATATAGCATTTGAATGCAATTCCTAAGCATATTGAAGAGCAACAACACAGTAGGTTATTACTCGTTTAAAATATAAACATAATCCTCTCTAACAGACAGTTGGCGCACGCTCGTTTAGCAGCGGAGCTGATTCTTTCTCTGGCTGAGGGGGCGGGGCTCGCGAGGGGGCGGGGCTCTGGAGGGTGCTTCCCGCGTGACGTAATCACAACACCTTTTTGAGCTTTTGTCTGTTGTGGTTGTTACACATGGATCCATAAGTATATGGTAAAAGTGCAATATTAATACTTCTATAATATATCTAAGATCTAACACGATCCCTTTAATAAATATATAGCCATTCAACCTATGACTGACATAACTAATAATAATGCATCCATGGGACAAGGAAAGTTGCTCACACATCATCTGTACCATAGACTGTATCTGTACAGCAGTTAGGTTTTCCTGCGACTTCGTTTTGAATAATCCCTGAACGACTGAGAGTTACACAAACATAAGCACATGATATTATTCATTAAAATACCAAACTAATATATGCCATACGATAATAGGGCTAGGCACGTTTGCTTCAAAGCAAGACGGTTGTGGGTTCGATTTCACGTCCAGGCCTTTCTGTGTGGAGTTTGCATGTTCTCCCCGTGTCTGCGTAGATTTCCCTCAGCTTCCCGTAACTCGACAATACACAATACAGTTGTTCAGGTTGAACGAGTGCGTGTTTGTGTGGGACAATGGATGCAAATTAGCCCAAGGCTACAATCCGGAAAGGTCTATTCATTGCCATGCTCTTTCCCAACCAAATAAATAAATATACATTACTATAGCCCCATCTAGCGGTGGCTATTGTGACTAAACTTTTAAGTTCTCATTTTAACATTAACAAACCAGTAAACTACAAATATTGTGAAAATGATAAGGAAAATGTATTTAAATTCTTTTATTCATTCGATGTAATAGGCTAACGATTATCTTCCACAATAATGTTTCTTCGTGGGTAGGTGTCTACTTCAACAACAATATACCGAAACTCGTACCTTCGAGTTTCTGGATTCTGTAATAAAAAAATTGAAAAATCATGTGATTGTACAATGTCCTTGACCATTATTTTACAAGTTTAGTGCTTCAGAATAACACCAGTGTACTACCTCTTTAGATTCAGAATGAACCGTTCCTTTAAGTCCAGGTTCAGAACCTTCAATGTAAAACTTGAGCCTCAGATGCTTCAGTCCGTCCTTCATAAACTCAGAATGACTAAAACAAAAAAGGGAACATGTTTTAATGTCAGCGAGTGAAATATAGTAGCTGTGGTTTTTCATATTCACCTGACATGCTGTCTTCTGCCACGACGAGTACTTTCACCGTAACACTTGATTGGTTCTCCAAATGCGCCAATCACCTTCAAAGAATAAAACTCTCAATGCCAAAATGATTTTGGGTAGTTCTCAGATAACTCAACACACCTCTGGATTTGACTTGACTAAGTTGAAAGCTTTCCCATAAACCTTATTTGGACTGGAGGTTGAAAAAAGCTCCTGGAAGAGCACATACAGAAGCCCCCCTAAGAAATGAAGTCAAACAGTGAGGACCATGGAATACACAGTAAAACATTGGTGACTCATAAGAGTGAGCAGAGTGAATGGTACTGATCACACAGCACCAGTAAATGTATTGATTTCTGGTTTAAATCATTGTGTGTTTTATGCATCTCACCTGTTTGTGTCAAGAAAATATGCCATGATTTTTAATTATAAAATAAAATGATTAATGCTCACTTTTAAAAATCACATTATTATAGAAAATAATTCAGTAACTATCCAGTAACACTCCCTAAAATCGCACTATCAGCCAATGAAAAAATGGATGTGTTTTAATCTCCTGGGAATAAAACAAAAAATCCCTCATCTCCAAATCATACGTCCTGGGATGAATCAGCACCGGTTTGAACTGCATTCTCATGAATAGAATATGTCAAATAAAAAATGCAAAAAAGTTTTGTGATTTTTCATTCATTCTCCTTCGACCCTTTAGCTTTATCCTACGTTCATACATCTCGTTTTCAGTGAGGGACATTGCTAAGCTCAATAAATGGTCATTCTTCAGTCTAATTTGAACATAGCCCCAGACACATAGAGTAAATGAGAAATCAAAGGCCAAAATGACAGCTTCACAACCCACTTGCATGTTTTCAGTTTAAGAGATAAAATATACAGGGAAAGGTTAAAGCAATTGTGGATTGTGTAAGTTACCTGTGACACCAAGACCAATCAGTACAACGATCAAGTAGGTGAAATCTCTGCCTGCGTTTTTGACTGAAACAGAGACAGTGTTAGCAACATGGCAGCAACACATATGGCTTGATTTGACAAAGTACCTTTCTGTGCTGCAGAGATGTTGGGACTTCCTCTTTGAAACTTGGAGATAGACTTGGATCGGCTTTCCTCACTGCTATTGTTATTTCTGTTGGCACCTTGCACACAAATCCCTCTCCATAAAATAGTCTGAATTGGACAACTCACTGTGCAGAAAGCCTGATCTGTTTGTCTCTGCAAGGACAATCCTGCAGCTGTAATGATGCCCCTGTTAGTGTGGCTAAAAGAGCGAAAATGTGCAAGTTTAAGCGACTTTCCCATAAGCCAAGACGATGTATGAGGCAAGTGATGAAGTGATTTGAATATGTGTGCATAAGCCATGGCGATAGCTTTGTGAGGGGCTAGCTTGGGGAGTTAGCTTGAGACGTGCTAGCTTTGAAACAATTGCTAATAAATACTTAAATTGCTCTACAAATAATTAGACACACCATGGCACAAGGATAGTTAATAACCCGCGTTTACCTACATTTGGCTAAAAAACCACATATGAAACTATATTAGCTCTATTATAGCTCTACTATGACCCTGACGGAAGATTAGCCGTCATGTTTACAGGGAACGCGCACCACGTGACGCTTCACCGGTGGACTATGGGAAATGTAGTACTTTATCGTTGAGCTGGTGTACCTAACCTTTATTTTTCATTAATATAGAATTTTACAAAATAGATTATTGTAAAAGTTTAATGTCTTCATCATAGTAGGGACGATTTTATATTTTGCATTCTTCTAAGGAGGAAGAGCCCTGTGATTCACTATTTGACGCTTTGGGCTGAGTGACTGTGCTCCTCTTTTTCATTTTCCTGACTGAAAAAGTGCTGTAGCCTATGTGAACACTATGAAACCAAACTGTTAGAGAGCAAAGAACAAGTTGGATGCATATTTTATCATGATTAAAATCATGTGTCACAAATGATCACCACAGAACACCAAATCCATTCTTTTTTATTAAAAACATTCGGTCCAGCATTTCTTTATGCAAATAACTAGAAGCACCACAAAGCAAAGAGATCGGGACAAGAAAAGTATACAATAAACAGTAAGGAACAAAAGGTTAGTAGCTGAAATAGAAACAAACCCTTTACATATTGGGTACAATCAGTCATGTTTCCGTCAATCTCCTTAACAGTATTGTCATAAAACAATATTTAAAAAAATATAACATAATAACAAATCGTTTAGGCTATCGATAATAATAAAATGTATTTCTTTTTTTTTTCAAAAACCTGATTTTCTTATCGTCTACATTAAAGGTATTGTAAATTTCTTTGTTCAACATTTCAATAATTGCAGTCCCATGGCTCATCGCTCCTGAAGCCATTTCATGATATACGTATCTGTGCTGTCCCATTGAAACAAGTCATCACAAACATTCTACAGAGGAAAAGTTCATTTGAGATGCACATTCAGAGAAAATAGGTCTAGCTCCGAGTGCAGTCAGACTTGGCAAGAAGCAGAGGAATGTTGCACCTGTCTGAAGTATCTGCAGGAAAATAAAGAATACTATTATTTTAAAAATGACATTGTGACCATTCTGGATGGACACTGATTCATGTCATTTTATTATTGTTGTATTTGCTATTATTCCAGGTTTATTTGTGAGTGCACTGTCCCAAAAGTGATTATAATTCATTTTGAAAAGGGCAAGAGACAAAACGATACCAATATTAAAAAGTAAATTGTACAAGTGAAAGGTAATCTTTAGGCAAATGGTTTGACATAAAGAAAAACTATGTCTAGTGTCAAACTCTAACTGCCATTTTCACTCCATGAATGAACTAGGACTGAAACAAGGACAAACATTCAAATGTAGTTTAATCATATTGTTCATTTTAGAAAGTGTGTTTCAAATCAGCCTTGAAATTTGTCTCCTTCTGTCATTTAGCCCTAAAGTGCTCAAGTTAGTTCCAAAGATCTCAAGCCTCAACAATCAGAGAGACAAAATAACGGCTTTAAGCGACGAGGATTTTCATTAAATAATAATAATAAAAGTAGATACAATAGAAATAAGTCATGAAACAGCATGCGGTCAAACTATGTAAAAGATCATGTCTTGAAATTGTAGTAAGAAGTTGGGTTTAATGAAACGTGCATAATCCTCTTCACTTTCAATGTTTCAGCCTGACAAATATGTTTTAATAATAAATAGTGTAATGTTCTAATAACGTGTGTCCGAATTGCATGCTGGGGAATTTGTGTGAATTAAAAACCATAAAAAGTCCATTTCAAAATCTAAATCAGCAGTTCTCCAGAGCATTGTAGCAGCAGTCATCAGTCTCTTTGCATTTAGTTTGTCACACAGGTCTCCAGAGGTCAGCATCATGCTGGTGAAAATCCACGCTCAGTGAGGCCCGTTCGTACTGATCCAGGATTGCACTATTCTCAAGAAGTCTATGATGGAGACAATGCAACACAATGTAGAACATAAACAGACACACACAACACAGCATTAGAACATTTAGAGGCGTTAGTAGCACTTCATGTGGCTGCCCCATCACATATCAACAACATGTGATGATAACACTGTTACATCCTACTTTCTGATTGAAATATGATTGGGCAAACACATCAAATGATACACTATATGAACAATATGAACACTGTTTGCAAAGTGATATGCTGAATATGACTTTTCATGCAGGGGTCAAGAACTCACAAACACATTGCACATGTATTATAATGGACTATATTCTGGAATTGTTTACAAGATCTCATTGTTTGTTCTTTAACACATTCTTTAATGTAAACAGTCTAGAAGCAGAGAAGAGAGGTTACATGACCGGACAGTCAAATGAAAAGGTCCATGCCCATGAACACATGAATACACACAGTATGCAGAGTGTCCCCTGAAGTATGAGGACATGCAGCAAACTAGAGAAGACAGTTCTAACAACAAAATCTGCTAAATACAAGATGGCTGCAAGCAAGAGACCCATCTTGGTAAATAAAGAAAAAGAAAACAACAGAAACAAACTCGGCAAATAAGGACTTTATACAACAACATATAAACATGTGGACTGTTGAATAAGGGTGCTTACCTTGAGATTGTCTCCTAGACCCTAGTTGTGTTGTACTCTGATTCATGTTTGCTCAAAGAGCCAATGAGGCAGAACCTGCAATGTCATGGCTCTTTTGTTTAAAATCAAAATCTTGTTTTGCATTGATAATGTGCTTCTAAAACAGTGATGAATTGTGCATGCAGACATCCTCAGTAACACTGCATAGAACTACATGCAAGTATCTCCAAAGATCTTGCCATAATGCTGTAGGGTAAACAGTTGTAGGTGCAGATTGAAATACTAATCAACACCAAAATGCTACAATACTGAGGCACTGATTCAAGCCCTTCATAGTCGGTATAAGACTGAATATGACAAAATATCTTTCATTCAAACCTTAGTGCACATGTATAATATACATTTCTATAGTAAACTGCAGCAGATGAAGCTGGACATGTTCAACATGTTGCATGCAAGAAGGGGCAAAAAAGTGCATTTTAGCCCTTTAAGTATTTAGTAAGTAATGGCAATTAAAGCAAAAAATAAGCTTGTTAATTTAATTCAAAATGGGAGATAAAAAATGTAATCCACAAACTGAACCCTAAGGTAAAGTTGTTTGATCAGAAATCTATGGATACTGACCGCTGTACGGCCTTCTCGTGGCGTGAGAGCCGGTGGCTGGTGGTGGGCACTTCCTCCATGTCGTCATCCAGGTCGCAGCCATTGTCTGCTGCCTCCTGCGAGTAGCTGTGCTTCATCACCAGGATGCTGCGGCGGTTCCCTGCACTGGGCAGCAGGGGGCGCACTGACATGGGGGCTTGTGGCAGGTCCGTGAGCAGAGTGGCCTCTCGAGTGCTGAGGTTCCCTCTGCTGCCCCTGCCGCTCAGCGACAGCTGGGAGAAGTGCGCTGACCCCGGGTTGGAGGAGCCACAGTGGTGGTCGTGGACGCACCTGGACGAGGCTCTTCTGAGGGCGTGGTAGTTCTCAAAATCCTCGGCCAGGTCCACCAGGTCTGCAGAGGCCGCAGCAGCTGAGGTGGTGGAGCGTAAAGTGCACAGCTCGTAATGGGGCGGCTCAAAGACTTCCTGAAAAAGTGTGGGGTCAAAGTCCTCGCGCCGCAGGATGTACTTCTTACGAGGCTGTTTGATCTGAACGATGACGGACACGATGAGCAGGATGAGCACGATGCAGCAGGTGACGCCGATGATGGTGCCGTTTGTGTTGTTCAGGTTGTCCAGGATGTTGGCTTTTCTCTTCTCTGTTAAAACATAGTTACAGCAATTGTAAATCTCCTTCTGCTTTCTGTTGGTAAACCACCTCAGCATTTTCTTTCCATTTGCTCAATCATGAGTGATACTGTTTTTGTATGGCTCTATAATATATCTCTTCAAAAAGCTACTTGGTAAAGAGAAAATTGCAAGCCGTTCAAATATCTTTTTTTCTAAATGCACTTATTTGTTTTTGCAAATGAACTGTTCAAGTATGTTTGGAAAAATGATCCTTTAGTGTTGAGGATATCATTTCAATTTCAAGTAATGAGCCAAACCATTTCAAAAACATCATTCAGGTTTTTCAGAACAACCCTGCTCTTTTTCAAACCGATTAAATCCTTTCCATCAATGGCTCATGGTTTCTGGTTCTAAAGGTGTTGAATCATCCTGACAAATGAACCTCCTCATGCAAGGACTCGCAGTCGCTGCACTTGTTCTGGTATAATATCCATTAGATGTGACATGGTGTGACATTTGCATATTGCATGAGCGAGCCCCAGCACTGATGAACCGAGCCAAGCCTCTGTCACACAGAGATTACATTCAAAGGCACAGAAAGAAGGGGATCAACTCTGACATTTGTCACTAATGAGGACAAATTTGGCTGTTACAGGAATGGAGGGTAAAGTGTCGAGACGCCACACACGCAAAACAATATCATGAATTGTTTTGAATCTGAAATGAACATGAATTGTGGGAAAAATAAACAAAAAACATTTGAATTGATCGATACGAGATGATGTGTTATATTTCAGCCTTAGCCATACAACAGAACACACAATTGTACAGTACATAGGTGTATCTATATATGTGCTCATAGGCGTAGGGTACCAGTCTGTGTGCAAAAAGGTTCTAGGTCCAGCCCAGGCCTTTCTCTGAGGAGTTTGCATGTTCTCCCCCTATCTGCTCCGATTTCCTCTGGATGCTCCGGTTTCTCCTCACTGTTATACAAAATTGTGAAGCGCTTTGTGTGACCTTTGTCTGTGAAATCTGCAATATAAATACTTACTTACCTACTACATCTACAGTCATCGTTATAGAAGTGAAGGGAGAGAAGGGAGAAGGAAGTGTAGAATCTCACTTTTATATTATCCCTGATTTTAAATCCCAATCAGAAAAAAACATACATGAGTGACACCAATGGTTGTTTACTTTATGCGGCGACATCATTAAAATCCATTGCAGGTATTGACGTTTGAGGTCTAATCCAACAGGCCCCGGTGGAGACCTTAAGTTATGTACTTGAAATATGGTGATGGATGGAGAAAGGTCAGGCTACAGCAATGTAATTAATGAGAAATATCGGAAAGCGGCCGATCCCCTGGAGTCTCCATGCATCTCTGTGAGAACCGGACAGCAAGTTAGAGGCGCAGATAAATGATGAGGACGCACAGCAAACACTGGGGATCGATGTATGGATCTAGAGGATTTAGGAACTGTCCAAGAGAGACTGTCAGCAACACAAACTAGGACAGCATTTGACTTCTCTGCACAATAAAATAGGATGTACTGTATAAATGGCATTGTTGCTGGATATAGGGCGTATAGCAGCTGTTTGCCTCAACATTTAAAGTCCAGTTTAAATTTTAATTGTGTTTTATAAATTCTGATTAGATTTGGTAAATAACTAAACTAATGTATTGTAATACAAACAATGCAAAAAGAACGCATTGTGCCTCATCTGTGGTTCATTATTTCTGTATTTAATAAAGGAGTAAGCACTAATAGTAAAATTAACATGGGCATTATCACACACTATAGTAATGGCTGCCCAACGAGATGATTCATTATTCTTACAAAAATGAATCTGCTATGCTATGTTATAATGGTTATAGCGGCTGAGGATTAAGTAGAATGCATAGATATATGATGAATGATGAGTATGATGAATGTTTGTGGATACATGATGGTTTTGTACATGTGTGATGCTGTGTGTGTTTGGATCATTTGTCGTCTGTGGAGTTTTATTGTGTTTTTATTTCTTCTTAGTTGCGGACAAGAGATTGAAATCTGTGGCAAATCTCTGTCTCCTATGGTTCATGTTCATCTTATGTGCTCCTACACAGACTAGGAATTAATCCATTTTGAACCTTTGATTTTGAAAAGTTATTCATTTTTGTATAATTTACAAGAACGGTCAGGAGTTGTTGAATCACCAACAAAAGATCTGAGAATAAAAAAACATTTTCATTGCATTGCATTTACGAATACAATAAAATGTGTGCAATAATAAAATGTGTGTTCAGGTCTGTAAAACTTTTGCGTTTGTCTCCTGTTATGGGAGAAAAGATGGAAACTGGTAATTTTGCTCAAATCCGTCTTGTTTACACTGTATTTTAAGATGTGCATTGAGGTACACTGACTCTATCAAATACATGAATACATAAATGAATTAAAGTCAAACCTTTTAAATCTAGTGGTAAGCCATAGTCTGTGTCGCTGTCCGTGGTGCTGATATAGTCTAATACAATTTTAAAGCTTGTATTTAAGTTTTATCTTGACAAGAGTCACCACGGACAGCGACACAGACCATGGCTTACCACTAGATTTAAAATGTTTGACTTTAATTCATTTATGTTCCAAAGTGCAGTCTTACCTTTACATTGGTTCTCGTCCCAGGGGTAGACGCAGTTCTGCATCCCATTACATACCAGTGTGTTGTTTATACACATATTACTGTGACAGAAGAAGGCATCAGCATCACACGGAGCTACAAAAAATAGATTATTAAAGTTAGTGGTTTCACATAATCAGTTACATGTGTATTCTGAACATAACCATAAGTATACGTGACATATGTGTTATGATAGTCTGTAGGTTCCACATGCAAAAAGCTCTAACATTGCATAGATGAGGAGACCAAGAGTTGCTTTTGTGCCAGTTTTGCCAGAAGTAAATCTGCCTGGATGTTCTCCTCAGATCTGCCCTGATCTCCCAGAAACCATCTGCTCTTCATGAATTTTCATCCTCATCTTTTTCTCTCCAAATTTGCAAAGACAACTTGTGGATTTGAATATTTCTGTGTGAGGAATTCCATTGCATTTAGACAATATACGGTCATGTTTTTAGAAATAACACATCCACACAGAATTTATAACTCAACCTAAACCAAACAAGCAGAGAAGAGAATTTGCCCTCTAAAAGATAATAAAGACATTTCCTTTTCAGTGTGTGGAGTGGTCATAAAGGCAGCTCCGTGACGCTATAGGCTCCCAAGTATTATGGCCCTGTCATTTAAATGCAAGGTGCCCTTCCCTTTAACTACCAATAGCACTAATGCACATGTCGTCTGATTGGCCAATTCATTTTCCTTGACAGCCAATCACACTATCATTTCTAAAAATCCTCCAGAATCCATATAATTACATGTTTTGACATTATTCTAAAACAATCAATGTGACTGTTGGATAGATTTTAGAGCATGTGATAAAAGATATTCAGTATACAGGATGTTGTAATTGGATATTGACACGTAAAACCTATGTTAAGTACTTGGATTAAAATACATTAATTGTTTAAGAGAGTGGGATTAAAAGCTTGTCAGTGTGAGCGCTAAGGCATTCTATAGAATTAACAGATTTACAATATTTAGCCATAAACACTGAAAAACGACTTCTACTATCAGCACTAATGGAACCATATCTATACTACTATACCACATGTTAGACACGGAATAATAATAATAAAAATCAGACAGAACAACAAATAAGAAGCTAAGAATAAACAGTTAAGTTTAGCCAGTTTTGAAAAGGTGGGGAAAAGGGTCCACGAAAGCAAAGACAATTTTATAATTACTTTAAAATCATTTGCAACAATCTTTTCAATGTTTTTTTTTTTCTTTCATCTAATATGATCTCTGTAATTATTTAACTGCTTTTGCAACAAGGGCTTCTCAGGAGGTGCAGTTTACCATTGTTCACACAGGCCAATACCATGTTCTCAAGTAATGAATCTCAAACCCCTGGCTTTCAAAACCAAAAGTCAGTTTTGCATCTGACAGACCAGTATATATCTCTCTGTGCATTTCTTTTACTTGCATTAAACCCTCCAGTATGATGCGCAGCAGGAACCACAGGGGGGCGCCAGTTCCTTCCATTAGTTCCTCACAGCTCACCACGGGGCAAGACTAGTCTATTATAGGAAAAAAAACTCCCCATAATCTGCTTTCAAATGAATTTAAAGAGAGTTTGTGATTAATGTGCTCTTTCGGGTTGAAGAGTGATGCCTGGAGCTGGACTTTCTTGACTAAATGAGCGGTTGATGGGTGAAAGGAGGATTTTGACGTAAAGTGCCAGTAGCGACGCAAGGGTCATGAACTTTTAATTGAGAAGGAACACATGGGAGCTTTTTGAGGGAGAGTCACTAGATTAGAAATCACTCTCTAAATGGACTGAGAGCGTATTCCCAACATTAGTCCCACGAGGGGGAACAATTTGCAAAGGATTGTAAAGGATTACATGGGAATGGGAAGAGGAAGACAGTATGCCAAACATTATGCAAGTACTACATGGATATATCACAAAAATAATCCGGAAATCCTACTGATTTACATTACTAGTCTGACCCAAAATTATGAATGCAAAAAAAAAAAACGACCAGGCAACATTCAAGAGACATTAACGACATATTGCAGAGAGCCACAGGTGCAGACAACACCTGTGTACTTTGTGAGACAGTTTTCACAATGAGTCCTAATGCAAATCCTTTAAGTCTTTTTATGTCCTCAGCAGATGCCGGTTCCCATCGGGCCTGGTGGCTTTTAGACACAGCTGCGAAGGTTTTCGCAGCGGTAGAGAGAGAGTGTTCCCAGAACATCTTTACAGGCGTTGGAACCTTTAGCTGCTCTGGTTGGTACAAGACCTTTGTCAAAACTGGGGATACATCTCGGCCCATTTTATCGAACTAAATCAACTCAAAAAGTCCAGCAGTGGGTCGGTCACCAATGAATAAAGTTGAATTTTTTGTTCTGATACTAGTTCTGATGTGTTATACTCGTTGCCTCCAGTGTACATCAATGCATGAATGTGTATGTGAGAAAAAATGCAACCTGATTAATGCCATATCAACACACATGGATTTTGAGATAAATAATAATGAATGATGATGTTACAGATCTAAATGGCAGTATGTTTTGGTCTCTCTATAAGTTCACTCTGTTTTTTCAGCAGGGCCCCAGGGAAAATGATCCGGGACATCAGATTCATTTAATTGCCATTTGCAGTAAAACCACATTGGAAAAACTGTGCAAGACTACCCCAGTGGCACCAGACGACACACACCAGAGCTCTTGCCACGGACTTTGGTTATTATTGTAATTCTTATAGGAATTCTTATGTGTTCTAATGGTTTGATTTTTGAATTTGTCATTCCTGCAATTGATAGGATGATGTGATTTTGGCCATACAAAACTGAATTGATTTGTTTGTTCTAAATGTAGTAGCAAAGGAAGGTTTCTCACCCATCATCTGTACTTCTTAGTAAGTTTTCCCGACGTTTCGTCCTCAATCCAAAGGACTTCTTCAGGGAATGAATTCTCAGACCGCGCGTTGGAGATTTATAACCTATGGGTGTGGTAAGCCACACCCTAATCCTGATACTAACTCATAAACAATCTCAGGTCTGCTTGATGTAGAAGGGAGCAGGTCTAACGACCCTGCTGAGGCTAACGACCCTAACTCCTTAGCATGTCACAGACCTATTGTCTGCTGGGATCATCAAGTGGAGTGCAGGTCTCACCCCTCCTAACTCATTAGCATGTCACAGACCTTGTCCCAAGTTAGGGCGTTGTTTTTAGGATGTCGTCATAGATGCGAGGCAAAACAAATCTTAACCCTAATCTCTGTTAAGAGAAGGTTTTAACATGCTAATGAGTTAGGGTCGTTAGCCTCAGCAGGGTCGTTAGACCTGCTCCCTTCTACATCAAACAGACCTTAGATTGTTTATGAGTTAGTATCAGGATTAGGGTGTGGCTAACCACACCCATAGGTTATAAATCTCCAACGCACAGTCTGAGAATTCATTCCCTGAAGAAGTCCTTTGGATTGAGGACGAAACGTCGGGAAAACTTACTAAGAAGTACAGATGATGGGTGAGAAACCTTCCTTTGCTTTGACTAATCCCTGTACGACTGAGGGCTTACACAAACTTCTAAATGTAGTGATTCTAATGGCAAATGCATAATGATATGATGAGCAGGGAGAGACATACAGCCCATTACCAAGACTAGAATGTGCTTGTGGTGATATATTTGCTCTTCAAATGAAAACATTTAACGAACGGAGTCTTACCCAGGAAAATCATTCATATTGATCAGTATTATTGATTATATTGGGCCGTGTGTGTGTGTGTGTGCGCGTGTGTGTATTATACCATGTGTTAAATTAAATTGTGTTACTTTTCAACTACCTTTTTCTGCATTCATTTTTAACTATTTTGTTCAATATTGTTGTATCTGTGTTGAATGAGTGAGAAGGGCTGGAAGTCTATACACATCTACTCCATCCAACCTCTTTTCCAACAATATCGATCCGCTGCAAAGCCCACAACGCATGTAGGCTATTCTCCATTGTACTTTCCTGTCGCAAAAGTTTTCAACTGTATGAATTTACCTCATACAGATAGGAATACAAAAGCACTTGCTGGGTCAAAGAACTGGGGCATTTTGCTTGAATTGCTTGACAGTTGAAATGGCCCAGTAGCTTGTTGTATATTCAGTCTATGGAGCACCTGAGCGTGGAGCATTGACAGGCGGTGCAGGGAGCAGAGCTGGATGGAGCTGGATGACGACGACGGCCTGGCACGGACCGCCTCGGTGACTTAGGCAGCTGCGTTACCCCGGCAACAACGGCACACCATGGGCTCTGGCGGTGACTCGTCCACACAGCTAAAGACTTCTGTGGTTTGCAAGTTCAGACTAGAACACACCCATTGACTTTTTGGACATGAGAGGGAAGAGGCTGTTTGCAGTGGAGGCTCATCAGGGTACTACAGGACTCTAGAATCTACATGTATTTCTCCTTTACCTTTACCTTTACCATGGGTATTGTAAGTTAAAGGAGACATACTGAATTATGTAACATTTTGGACCAATTGTTCTCTCATCAAAAAGTGCAGTTGTATTTTAGATTAATACACGCCAATGTGTAAAACATGTGACTCAAAAGTACAAAAATCTCTTGTCTCAAACCTGTAACAAACCTGTAGCTCCTGGTATTACTAAGAGGAGCTACAGAACTTCCTCTCACTCTTTTCTAATACTCTATAATAGTCCTTTTGTGCTTGGAGAGGGAAGTCTGGGCATCTCTACTCAGACCACTGCCCTTGTCACCTGGAAAGGGATAAAGCAGAGCGATGGCTGTAAGTAGTACTTCTTCACTTTCACCACACTGTCTCAACTGCTCGTGTTGTACTGACATGGATAGGACATCCCAACATCCCATCGCAAAATATAATGGCTCGATTGAAAATATTTTTTTTCTCATTCATTCGCACAGGCATCTTGTAACTGAGGAAAGCTTAACCCTGCAAGCCTGAAATAGGAATAACATTTTCTATCAATCCAAATATTTTGGTTTGGTTGCTTTAGGCAATGTTTACTCAATCTAATCTGACAAACAGACAGACAGACTGTGTGGCCTGTGTACATACTGACTGAGAACTGATACAGCGTTCACAGTGAAACATTTTTAACAAGAGTGACTTCACACACTCTGAGCTCCTGACGTTACATGTTGAATTGTGGTCTAAAATGCTATTATAGTGTTAAAGTGCTACTGGTCAATGAGACTTCTGAAGCTGACTGTGGTGAAACCAGCTTTGTGTGAGATGGTTTATACTCTGAGCAAACACAGCTTTATTTCTTACTGACAACATCAGTAAGAAAGAACTCCCCTCCTCTCTGCCCCACCTCCTGAATGTGTCGCCCATCAATTCGTTTGTTGAAACAAGTCAAGATGCTTGCACTACATTACTCCCTCCAACACCTCCTCCACCTCTTCTTCTTCTTGGAGTTTGGTTTAATGCAGTTCATCATCCTGGATCTTCTTCTGTTGCTTTTTTGTGACTTCAGTCTTGAGCTTCATGTTTTTAACCTCATCTTCTATATGCAGCTGTTTGCTGTCTCCAGTTGTTCTTGCAGATGTGCTGTGTGTTCCTCCAGGTCCACACAGTAATTATCCAGATGATAATGATTCTTCAGGAGGTTTCACACATAAACATTGACCCCATTTTGGATCTGCCGAGCCACATCCTTTATCTCCTTTTTCCTTTTCTTAATTAATTCCTTCCCAAAGTCTATCATAGTGTTTCTCTGTTTTAAGAATTCTTTGAGCTCATTCACTTTGAGCTGGAGGTCATCTCGCGTTTTCAATGTTTTGACTGGCATCACATTCCAGAAGCAGATTTTCCGCTGTCTTCAGTTTCTTGCAGAGATGCAGATTCTCTCCAGGTCTACACAGTGATTCTGAAGATGTAAGTGTTTCTGAAGGAGGTTTCGCACAAACACATTGACTCCATTTCTGATCTTCTGTGCCTCATTCTTCATCATCTTTTTGATTAGGATGTCTGTCTGTTCTAAACATTCCTTTTGCTGATTGGCTGAGTGAGGGTGGTCCTCTCTTCTATCAGACAAAGCTAAAGATTTGACTGAGGGCAAAAAAATACATACATGTACAAACTACTGATAGAACCAAACTGTCTGAGAACCAAGAACTAAGTTTTATGGTTTGAACATTAGGTACCCTATTTAAAAGAAAGAAAAGTGTGAAATTGCTAAAGAGATCACACACTGCATATCTCTCCTTCCACAAAGCACAAACTAAAACAGTCCTTCACAAATAGTGCGATGGGCCCGGCAAAGGGATGCGGTGCTACAGTATGCCTTTGGGTGCTTGTGACCTCAAAGGACATGGCATTTTTGCTGTACGTACTAGAACAGGATTCTATATCCTGTGTCAGCGCTCCATCTGTCTGCTGGAGCCATGTGTTTGTAGTGAATGAAAGTGGTTCCACATCCCTCATGTCTGCACCAATCAGCTCCGAAAGTTGGCTTTGACCTCTTGTCCGCGTTTGTGAGTTCAGATCGATCCAAACAGGAACAACAACAAGAAGAATATCCTTGTTAAAGAAAATTTAGTGAGGTGTTTGTAAAGCATTATAGCACTGATGATTGGTGATTTAGTGCATTGTGGCTTTGACGTTCAGGATCAGTGAAACGTGAACTCTGCCTCTCTGTCACTCAAATGCGAATCTCTCCCCTCGTAGTGGTGAGAGATGACAACAGTGTGGTACGGCTATTAGTGTGGCTATCAGTGTGCGACAGGTCCAAGTTTGCATCTTTGCACAGTCACATGACAAATACATCGAGGCTGGAAACAGACCTGGATCATGGGAGCCACAGGAAGTTGCCATGTCTTTGCCCGTGCTCCTCCTGAAGCTCATCTAAATCTACATTTTCACTTGCAGGACTAATGCATGTTGGTTGTGTACTTAAAGTGAATGCCTATAAGTAAAATGTGTTATCTCCACCGCTGTCAGACTGTACGATAAGTCATTTTAAGTCACTTATGCACTAGGACTGAAAAAACCAGCTCTGCTATTGCCACTTTTTTATTGTAAATAATTATATCCTGTACATACTATATTTTCTATAGATTTACTTTTACTTTTTTACTTTTGCACAAATCTGAGTGACTCTATATATGCCAAATGTGGATTCCTCCAGTGTGAGATTAATAAAGTCTATATTCCTGTGAACAAATCAAAGCACAACCGGCAGCTGCATCTTTTTAAACCTAAAAAAAAAATTACAAAAATGCAAACTTTTAAAAAACAGCCCTGTGAGTCACAAAATTGACTTTTTTGGGTAGAGAACATACAGTAGTTTATGAGCCTAAAAGATGTATCTATCTAAAAATGTCAGGAGGATGTGGCTTACGGTGAGGGTGTAACTTTGTCTGTTTGAATGCCGTCTAAATAACACTGATTCTAAATATAGTGCACACAATGAATGAGCACACTTGGCTGCACATTGAACGAGACTTGATTGAGAATGGGACGTAGGATAAAATCGATCCATGTAGGACATTGTGCCTATTCAGTCTGATCTGTTCTCATTAGATGTAGCTTTAGCTGCACTTTTATCTGCAGACTGTGAACCAATTATTATTCTCTTTAATTGTTTGATGAACAATATTGGTATAAAATAGAATAAACTGAGGTGGCACACAAAACATTTCATACATACCAACAAAAACCCAGGATTTTTTTTATTTTTTTTACCCAAATTGATTTAACTTTGCACCAATAGTTTAAAACCTGGATTTTTTTGAAGCACTGAAAAAGTAGGAGGAGGAGTGAGGACTTGTGCACTGAGCGAGTAGTGGGAGAGAGGTGTGTGGTCAGAGAGTGTTTGGGTCTTTGTTTTGTCGTGTGTGTGTGTGTGTGTGTGTGTTTGGTTGCATTGAATAAGTGAAAGGGGTTGGAGCAAAATAGGCGTTTGCTTCGTCTTACCTCTTTATATTTTTATCTTATGTCTTGTTTTTATTTTGAATCTTGTCTATTGTATTGTATGCAAAATTCAGTTTCATTTGCCTACATTTGAAAATATAATCTTACTTGTTCTAATTAATTCTATTCAAAAGCATGTATTTCATCCTGCCTACAAAACATAGACACAATGTTCCTACAGTTTCCACATGAGGCTTGATGAATCACACTGCTTTGTGAATTGAACCAAATGTCATGGTTTAAGTTTATTTCCTGTTTTATTTTGAAATGTGTTATTCCTGTGTCTTCTTTGGTTGTACTTCCTGTTGTCTGATTACCTGCCCTGCCCTCATCTGTCTCACCTGTGTCTCGTTAGTCTTGTATTTAGCCCTGTGTGTTCCTTCACTCCCTGTTCCGTCATTGTCATTACTAGTCTGTTTTAGTTCTGTCCGTTCCCTGTGTTTTTGGTAGGTCTTGATTTGTATTACTTTCATTAAATCCATCATTTTGCAGTTTTTGCCTTTTGGGCCTCATTTGTTTTTCACCTACGTGACACCAAATTTACATACATTCAGACTCATTCCACCCCCACTTAAAACCGAGGCAATTCACGGCTCACTGATTTCCGGAAAAGTAGATCTTGGTTTGATAACGCGTGGGTGCTCCTGGTCCAAACCATATGACCGTAAATACAGTATATATAGCACTTATTGATGTTATGCCTCGTCTTCCTCTCTACACTGCCTTTCTTATATTACTCGGCGAGAGGCATGACGTGGCCTGATTTCACTGTGTTGCCCATTAAAAGACCCATAAAAGTAAATGGAAACCTCTGGCAGTACATTGTAAATGAACGGCATCGAAGTCACTATAAAGCTGACCCATGTTCTTGCATCCTGCGTTTATGGGCCACGCACTCTAGACCCCTTTTTTACGGCACAGTATTATGGGTTGTTCAGCCCGGTGCGGTGGCGGTCGGGGGTCTTACGCTCTTGGTAGGTGGTAAAGAGGATGCGGAAGCGGCTCTTTCTGCTGGCCTCGTCTGCCCACATTCGGATAACGCCCAGCGTGTTCACCAGCATGATGTCGTTGGCCACAGTGGAGCAGAATTTACTCTTGAGGTCCTCCACTGAGCTGAGAGAGAGAGAGAGAGAGAGAGAGAGAGAGAGAGAGAGAGAGAGAGAGAGAGAGAGAGAGAGAGAGAGAAAGAGAGACAGAGAGAGAGAGAGAGATAGAGAGAGAGAGAGAGAGAGAGAGAGAGAGAGAGAGAGAGAGAGAGAGAGAGAGAGAGAGAGAGAGAGAGAGATTTTCATCATCGAGTTCAAGCATCATGCAATTGGGGTCGAATCAATAAATACATGCATTTACTATTGACTAAATACGTGTAGTTTTTTGTCTATATTTTGTGGTCTATTTTGTTGTTATATGGACTCTTTGCGTGTCTGAATTAAAGATTAAATAAATACAAATATTACCCAGTGGAAAGCAGACGAAACAGAATATAGCTGTAGAATGACATCCTTGTTATTCTACTGATTTACAAAACTCAGACATTTTAACTGCTATATAAAACACCCTGCACTACGTCCTGGTTTAATGCACCTCAAACACAAAAGGAAAGACAAGGGCAAGAATTGAAAGGGCATCTGAGTTCCCAAAATCAAAATAAGCAATAACATTTACTAGTATTTTGTGCAACTTTCTCCTACCCCAAACCAAGCCACTATTGTTCACTATCTTGGTTTACAGTTTTGTAATTCTAATGATGAAAAATATGGATTGTTTTTTTTTGTTATTTATTGCTATTTTTTATAATTTGTATCTTTGTATGCTTCGTAACTCATAGACTATCAGCCGTTTTTGAGGATTTCACTGATTCAAGACCCATACAATATTTTTTCCGAAGACTATGTGAAATATGAAACCAGATTCTGAAAGACTGGATTGTCTACTTTCATCAGCAAAAATAAGTTTGTTTCTAGTTATTTTTGTCATCCTGTAATCCCCAGCCGAATAGAGGGTCTCAGACAAATACGTCAATGGCAGTCAATGAGTTAATTGTTTTTTTTTTTGTACACTGGTTGGCTGCAGAATGGGTGAATAGCCCAAGACAAGTTTCCAAAATGTCTGGGACAATAAAGTTTATCTTGAATCTTGAATAACTCATGTATTTTTTTGCACAATCTGAGTGATACTATCTCTATGACAAATGTGACTTCCAATTGTCTCCATTGTGAGATTAATAAAGTTTATCTTGTCTTGTCGTATAATTTTATTTCAATCATTACATTCTCCCCTCATAATTCTCATTTATAGTTAATCTGCCAGTTCTACTTTAAAGTATTGTTTTGTTTTATCTATATATTTCACTGTGTTGTTAGTATTGCCCTGTCTGAGTATGTATTGACTGTATGTAGCTTACAAATGTAAAAATAATAAATAATCTATTACATTTTTGCTGTAACTTTCTCACATGACCAGATCATCCACTATACAAGCTCCAAATGTCTTTCTTTTTTTTTAAATTCAAACTTAATCATTAGAAAAACAGAGTGACCTACCTGCCACCGTCGTAAACAGCCACAAAGTTACGCTTGCATTCATTTGAGTTTGCCATCTCATAATCCAGAAAGCGCAGGTAAATCTGAAAGAACATTCATATTACAAAGAATTAGACACTCATTAAAGCAGATGAATGAATGTACATTTGACTTTGATGATAACATTTCATTTGAATCAATGCTCCGGCTGATAACGCAGCGCTGTAATGGAATAACAAGAATATAAAGCTTTATCTCCTTCTTTACAAATGCATGTGGAACCGAGTCAGTTTATCAGGCCCAGCTCTTGAACCCGACGGCTCACACAATACAGAACAATCGCATCAAACACTAGTACACTGGGCGGCAGTAGCTCAGTTGGTAGAGCGTTGGCCTTTGAGCCAGAAGGTCGTGGGTTCAAGCCCCGCTCAAGACTTTCACCATCGACTCCCACTGACTACTGTCGTTGTGTCCTTGGCAAGACACTTAACCTCTGGGAACACCAGCCACAGTGGGGCGGCTGCGGCTGTAAAGTGCCAAACTGCCGTTGTGTCCTTAGGCAAGACACTTCACCCCCATTGCCTAGAATGAGTCTGGTGTGTGTGTGAATGGTTGGTGGTGGTCAGAGGGGCCGATGGCACATACTGGTTGCCTCGCTTCTGTCAGTGTGCCCCAGGGCAGCTGTGGCTACATTAGTAGTTTATCACCACCGTGTATGGAGTGAATGAATAATGACATGTGAAGCGTCTTTGAGTGTCCAAAAAAGCGCTATATAAAACCGATGCATTATTATTATTATTACTAGTATTGAAAATGATGTTCAAACTTCAAAACTATTAAAAGTATAACAAAGTCAGGTCAAATGGCCATAACGTGGATAAAAAGAAAGCAAAAGGTATTTTTTCAGAAATGCCATATCACACATATTAATTGCGAACAGCATCGCCAAATACTGCAAGAATTACAAAATACAGAAAAGTACATAGTATTCAAATATCTCTAACCCTAACCCTTTTATTTTGTATTAATTATGTTATTTCATCACAATTATCTATTTTATTTAACCAGGGAAGTCCCACTGAGATTTCAGAAACTCTTTTTTTAGGTCATAAAGGGTGTTACAGCAGACTATGGTACATATTTTAGGGGGGGAAGGGAAACCGGAGCACCTGGGGGAAACCTATGTAGACCCAGGAAGAACATGCAACCTCGACACAGAAAGACCCAGTCCGGAGGTGTAATAGAAGCCAGTAACTTCTTGCTGTGACGCACAACCGCTGCTCCACTGTGCCACCCAAAAAAAGGTGGAGAATGAAATAGTTGTAACTGTCTAGACGTATAATTGGTGGATGTAGTTGAGAGGGTAAATTAGTGAGCCTGAAAATAAATAGCTATAAATCTGGTATTTTCAAAGGGTAGACCACAAGGTGTGACAAAGCCAATTATGTCTGAAAGGAGACGCACAATCACAAATGTTTGCGCAGTGCCAGAATAATTTGTCTAGCAGATTTTGGCATCATTTCTAAAGCCGTTATTAATTGCTCTAGTAACACCCTGTAATACCCCAACACACCATCAGCACAAACCAGCGACGTCTCCTCTACACTAGTAAAGGTCACACATGGTTGTCAATCATCAATCGGGCCTGAGATCGTCCAATCAGAGCCCTCGTTCCGGTCCGGCGGCTGCAGCTCTCCCATCATTACTGTAATGAGAGGTACCGCCCTGGACTGTGTGTGGCAAATGTGATACTTTCTGAACGCACAAAGACAAAAGCTGCAGATGGAGGGAGATAATAGACCTCACAATGTCAACTCAGCTTCACCAACATGACAAGAGCAATCCATCCGCTGGGACAAAACAAGATAGCCAATTTCCCCCCAGCTCCCATTTTGGTGTCAGTAATAGTTGGTCTAATAAAACTGTGTCATATTGTGCCACTTCACGGACTGTTGCGGCTTCATCACAAGAAACGGGACATTTTGTATCCTGCAGATGAATTAAATAGAGCCACGTCAGCGCGGTCTGCAGGGTACAAACCGTGTACAGTACAGCGTGTGCGAAAACAGATGAAATGTAATATGTCGCATAGAGGCGGTGCTGGTTCATGGCTTGTGGTAATCGACTCTAACTCTCTTTGAAGTGTGTAGACTTTAGGCTATCCATTTTTGAGCACAGATAATTCAAATTATGGAATTAAGAATTTTTTTGTTTCCATAACAATTCAAGCTTTGTACTAATGGTCACTATACACATGTTTTGATTCTAAAAGCTGAAAAGTAGTAAAGTAACCATGCGTAAGTAAGTAAGGAAGTAGTATTTTTTTATATAGCACATTTTATAGACCAAGATCACCCAAAGCGCTTTACAATGTTCCGAGTTCAGATTTATATAGAACCAAACCGCTTTGAGAGCTACAGGAACTAGTGACACATGCATGTATTTTAGACCTGTCTCAAATTTATATAATCTCTCCCAGTGAACCAGCTGTCATTGTTCTGATTTGTTTTCAACATGTTACATAAACGAGCATTATGCAAGTCTTTATGCGAGAAAAAAAAAAATGATATTGAACATTTTTATATTTTTGCCTATTTGACCTTGTTGCGATCCAGTGGCTGCATGAGTGGTCAAAATGGTGCCATTCCCATCACAGTGGTCTCTGGGATGCTATAGGGTCAAATGTTTGGAAGGATTTCTCTGCTGATGGATCCTCTGACTAGAAAGCCTACAAAACAATTGATCCTGGAGCTCAGTAGGTCTAAACAACTGTGGGTTAGGGTTAGGGTTAGTGACGGTACCATGCTGCCCGCTCTTACAGCCATTGTGCCACATAAAAGGTTGCATATTGCACCTTTAAAACAAGACTCTTTCAGCTGAGACAAACAACACATTTATGAAACAAAAAAAAACTGTTAAGTACTCCATCTTTAATCCACTCGAGAGGACACAACACACAAACACAACACTAATTGTAGTAACCGTGGACAAACTGTTCCAAAACAACCACTCCAACACACTCCTATTGAAGCACATCATGCACTTATTAAAGCTCAATTATAACTTCATTTTATGCCAGCCGCTTTTGTTGACAATATGAGAAGAACATGGGTCAATTCTCTCTCTGAAAGCCCAATGGTGGCGATAACTCAGACAGATACAATCACACATTTGAGATGCAGCAGATCGGCCTCTCCATCGATTCACAGCCGCACCGTAATGATGCAGGATCCTTCACTGCCTTCAAGAATACATCCTTCTTGTTGCCTAAAAGGGTCTTGATAGGCTCTTGGGTGGGCTCATTATTGCCTGAATGAAAGCCCATATTTTGGCCATTATGTCTTCATGGGGTTAGACCTCCAGGACCAGGTGCGCTCAAAATTACAAATGTTTTCCTCCAGCAAGAGACGATTTGCACAAAAACAGCTATGGGCAGAATCGGACGAGCTAATCAAAGGAGCCGTGGAGCTTGACAGCGTCCTTTAGGGTGTTAGTGTCCTCGAATACATTATATTAAATGATTTTTGAGGCATTTATGAGCAGTGAAAAGTGAAGAGAAGGACAAAGTTTACTTCTTCGTCATTTATATTGTTTGTGCTGTGTGTATTTGAGTTGCATGGCCCTCTCCCTACAACGGGATTCAAATAGGCACACACATTGCCAACACTTAAACTGATACTAAAGATAATATACTTGCACTGAAAATACAGCCAGGAGCTTAAATAAAAAATACTAATAATGATGTCATTGAAGATTTACTTTTTATGTGATAAACTGTTTGGAGCATGGCAAGCTATAAGTACCTTTTTTGACCTGCTGTGAAAAAAGTGTGGCCACTTCAGGTCAAACAAATTGTGCAAATATAATTCGATTTCTGCCAAAGGTTGTGAATACTGTATAATGATCAGCTTTCCCTGATAATCCAAGGAAGGATAATCAGCCAGATAACTTGGAAGTGGCTTTTCCAAGGTTAAAATAACAGTTTAAAGTGGCCACGACAGAGCAAATCCTGGTGCAGTGCTGTCACTTCTGGCAACAACACTGGGGCATTATTGCTTACTCCAACAATATATCGCATCCGTCCTTTTCCCTCACTTCTCCTAGCGTTAGCACTGCCCCCCTCTGCCATCTCAGCCTAATGCACGTTTCCTAAAATGCATTATTAAGTACATTCTCTGAGTTCTACGTGGAAGTCTCTGTGGAGCATTGGCTACTGTCTAATTAGAGCCTCCAGTATCGGATGTCATTATGTGTGTTTTTGGCACTGGCTCTGTATCTGTATCAGCAGAGGGGAAATAACAGCACTGCCCTAACCTCAGCTGTAGAGGGACAACATCCCTGCATCTCCACATAACGTGAGTCTGCATTATTGCTGCAGAGAGACGAGAGCTTCAGTTACATAAGAAATAATTGATTCATGACTATTCGACTGTAACTCTGTGATCATAATGTTGACTGTTGAAGTTTTGTGCTACATGTTAATATTGTTGGTATATGAGAATCTGTATAATGTGGCATCTGTCGTATAGTTGCAATAGGGGTTAGGCATTGCGTTGCCTTGTGTAGGAAAGGCGCTCTATAAATAAACGTTGATTGATAGGCAGTATAAGTCCCATCTCCAGCCTAAACCCCTTTCGGTCAGGCATTATTAGCACTAAAATTCTTAGTTTACATTAGGGCTGCACAATATTGGAAATTAGTGCGATATTTGTTTTGAATGTGTAGCATTGCGATAACGATATTATTGCGACATTTTTGTCTTTCACCTAAAATTGCAATCTGCATTGAAACGCAAGAGACAAATAACAAAAAATAAGCACAACATTAATGACATTCAAATGCATATATTTATATACTTTTTTGTTTGCTTGTTGTTCTTGTTGAATGTTAATGTGTATGTCTGTTTTGTTGTCTTTAATGAAGAAAAAAAATTATAAAAGTAAAAAAAATAAAAATAAAAATAATATATAGCGGATATTTTCAAAATGGATATCGAACACGCCAAGATCGCGATAACGATATTTTTTCGATTTATCGTGCAGCCCTAGTATACATGCTTTAGTTCTTTTTTCTTTATTGTGAAATGTATTTGATCTTTGAAAAC